AAATGGGATGACAAAGAATTAACTTGACGGAGCTCAAACTCAAACAACACGGTAGCTGTGTCATAAGCCATAGCTGTGCACCAGCTGTTTAAAGAATAAGAGAGTCCCATGGTGGAACGAAGAATGTAAAAGTGCTATAAGAAAGAAAAGGAAAGCATTTAGGAGAGTTAGGAAAACACATCATTTTCCAGATTTAATAGACTATAGAAAAGCACAAGCAGATGTAAGAAGGACAGTAAGAAAGCCAAAATAGATATTGGAAGTCATACTGTAATGAAGTGGGTAAGAATACACCAGTAGAGGAGGTGTGGGCATGATTAAGAAAAGGAAAGGAATTAAAACAAATAAGGAATGTCCAGTTTTATAAATAGTAAATAGTTCAGAAAATGTAACTGATCAGAGTAAGCATATGTTAAAAGAGTATCCAGATTTAATGGGAAAGGTGACTGGTAAGGGCTTGCTGGAGGCACCATTCTCTATCAGTGAATTAAGAAATGCAGCAAGAAGAATGAAACGATCTGCTCGGGAATGGATGGAGCAAGTTATTCTATGAAGGTGATGTTAGCATTTTACAACAGAATATGGATGGAAGCTACACTTCCTCAGAGTTGGAAGGAAGCATTAATTATATCTATTAAAAAGCCTGGGGAAGATCCAACTAATCCTCTGAGTTATCGGCGATAGCTTTAACTTCTCATTTCTGTAAGGTCGTGGAGAGAATGCACTGGATCAAAGTGTGTTTAGCTGGGGAAGAGGGACTTTGCATTCAGTGGCATCTTTAGAAGATCAGCTCTGCATCTCGCTCTTGTATGTGCGCGCTGCTGTCGATTTAAATAATAAAAGTCCGGCAGCGGAAGTGATGTGGGTTCAGGAGCAGGGGCGCTTCCGCTCAGTGCAGGAGGATGGCTAGCGCTTTTGGACGCGTTTGTTGATACACGTGAATATTAGACCTCTGTTTAAGCGACTGAGGTGAGTTTGACTTCTTCTCCCGCTGCATTCATATCCATATCTACGCGTGTGTTCCGTGTGTGTATGAAGCGCTGAGCCACACAGTCACAGAGGACCGTTTGATATCATGATTAGCCGTGTTTACATCGCTTACTGTGCAGCATCTTCATGAGGTGTGTGTGTGTGTGTCTCTGTGTGTGTGTGTGTGTGTGTGTGTCTGTGTGTGTGTGT